AGATGGAGAAGATTTGTTTCATTTGCAATTTTGGAGGTGGCCAAGGGTGGCTCTTTATTGGGGGGTGTCTTAACAGGGTTTGAATGCATTACTTTAGCCAGATTTTAACAGCAATTATGTATTTATTGTTTCAATTGGATACAAAAGCCATAATCTTACCTTTCCCTCATCAATGCATAATGAACTTCTTGATTGGAACAGCTTCACTACATAAAAGACACACATTGTTACCCTTAAAATAAAAAAAATAAATAAAGCAGCGGGATTATCTTGTAATCCGGCTAACCTGCTCCACATGCGTCCATCAAAGGATGAGTAAAACTAGTTTCATTATCGTATTCGGGGTTCCAGTCCAACCAGAGAACATATCATTGCACACAATCGCAGGGTTTCCTTCTCTGCGTCTTGGTTAACAGAGCGTGGAGGAAAAATGGGGATGGCATCAGTGCGTTTATCTCTCGTGCATTTTCGGGCTTTTGTCCTATACACACCGTAACATGGGAATCAATGCATCGATCTTTCACTTTTGAAAACGCCTTCATACGCAACCCATGATTTGGTATGAAAAAAAGAAAAAGAAATTAAAAATAAATTGGGATTCAACTCCTCCGGGAGTGAGGTGTTCGAATACCAAGCAGTAATTTTGATTCACGCGGATATAATTATACTGTTTGTGGTTTGACAAATTTTTTTTTCGTCGGGATACAAATGGACAACGAAATTCTTCGAACAAGGATTTTTTTAGGGTTCTCTAATAATGCTATACGGGTTTCTGTATGACGAAATCCTCTCTGCAATGAGTTTTTCTGATCCTTTGAATTTTGTTGTACCGCTGTATTAAAAATAATTATTTTTGATGAGCCAATCCGTACTGCGTCGCAAATTAATTTTTGAAAAAACGGCAGTTAAACTTACGCGTAAATCGAAATTTCTCTCGATATTCGAACATATCACTCTTGGAGAAGTTCAATTTCTATGGGCGGGAACGAAATTCAAGCGACCATGAAAAAACCGTTGTAGAAAAAATGTATTTGTAAATAACTTGTACAGATGGCGAGGCATGAGGAAGTTGAATTTTTCTTTCTTCTTATTTTTACAAAAGTCGAGGGACCGGAGAAAATCTTCGTAGGGAGATATTTTTTTGAAGACCACAGAAAAATTATTTGTAGAGAATTTTTTTTAGTAGAGTCCCTAAAACATGAAGATGAGAGGACCCCATGAAAGAAGGTTTTATAGAGAAAATCTTTGTAGACAAGATCGTTGTAAAGAGAGTCCACCTGTACACTTTTTCAAGCTATGAATCGAAATTCATGTGTTTAAAATTATAAAATTAGAGAACAATTGACTTGAATTATTTATTCAATCTGTTGAAAATCGTGGTAAACCTTATAACGCTTCACTGACCCAATTAAATTCAAAATCAACCCACAGAGTGCTCAAAAATTTAATTTTTTTGCAGGGAGAAGCTATGTTTTTCCCTCTCCCAATTTGATCAAGTGTATCCAAAGATTCCTTGTAGGCACAAAATCAAATTTTTTTTTTTTCAAAATTTCCTCCAAAGTCACACATCTGATGTAGCCTTTAGAAAAAATTTTAATCTCGTCCTTTTGAAAAATAAAAGAATTTCTCAACCTGGAATCCTGTTGAAAAATCTTTCAAAAATAAGTTTCATTTTTGTCTTGAAAAACAAAAAGAGTTGGCATTCAAGCTAGTAAATAGCTGGCTCATTGGTGCAATGATTTTTCCACAAATGAACAGTGAGACCCCCCAGATGCAGACATCATTGGTGCATCAAGAGTGTCCATAAGTTGAATTTTCCCTCTAAGTCGAGTCTTGTTTTCCCATAGACTTACGTTTTATTATTTTTAATTGGTGTTTTATGAAAGAATTATTCTTCAGAAATCCATGAAAAGCATTTTTGCCACTTGAATTTGATTCAGTGAATATCTTTTCAACCCAATGAAAACATTTGGAGCATTGAATAGTATACCTTTGTACAGTTCATTGAAATGTTGGCATCTGTAAAAATAGCATTCAAGTCACAAAAAGAGAAGGATTGAGGTCCATCTGTGGTGTAGGTAATTTTTTTTAATTAGATGGATGGATGGGAGAGTGCTGGGAAAATTACCAAAGAAATTTTCTTGCACAGATCTTATAGTTATGGAAATATCTGTTTCTTGCAATTAAGCCCAATAAAAGTCAATTTTCCTAAAATTTCTTGCCAATTTTATCATGCAACATCCTCAAGCTGAGTCAGTGTCCATATGTTGGGCCTTTTTTTCATCATTTTTTCATTGAAAAATTAATGTCCCCATGTTGAGGTGTCCGCATGTGGGGGTCTCACTGTACTCGAAATATTTCGCACGTGGAATCCATTATCTCATACGCAGGCGTGAAAAAAAGGTGCAATAAATAAAATAACGAGCCCACGGATCGAGGTCTTTTTTTCTCTTTCTTTTAGAAACAGGAGAAAATGCTTTCCTCATAGTCGATCAATTGATTGATTGATTGACCCCAGCTGCGAAAGCCCAACCGTTGCCACAAGACCCTCATTTTTATTCCGTCCGCCGCCGCCGCGGAAAAGAAGCATCCCGCGCCTGGATGAAGCAAGCCAGCCAACCAGCGGATTTTCTTCCTGTATATACGTATCCTGTATGTATGTGCTCCAGCAGCAGCAGCGGTCAGCAGCTGACGCCATTGTATTCCTCTCGTATATACACGTATATACGAGCAGAGGTGAGAAATGACGTCAAGTCCCGAGATGGGCTGGCTACGAGAATTATCTCCTGATTCATCACATCGTCCCCAGAAGAGACGAGAGAGAGAGAGGGGGGAAGAAACGGTCGTTGTAACCTTACATGGATAAATTAATATACCCACCAAGCTATACAGAAGAATGAGTAAGAAATCAACCTTGATCTCAGCAGTAATACCCAAAAGGTTCCGATTTGGATCACGACAAAATGTATTTTTGAAGAGATTTTTTTTCAGTGTCAAAGACTGAACCGAGTCATTTTTGAAAGAAAAATTTGATTTATGCTAGGGGGTTCGAGTTATACAGCTGGTTAAACTTTAATGAATTAGAAGAAGGAATTCATAAAAACCTCATGAATATTTATTTGTAAAATTTCTTGTAATGTCAGCAGCGCTGAAAGGTTCCGAATTGGATCACAACAAAATACATTTTTGAAGATATTTATTTTTTATTCAGTGTCACAGACTGAAACGAGTCATTTTTGTTGGGGGTTTCAGTTATACTGTACATGTTTACCTGTAATGAATTAGAAGAAGGAATTCATAAAAACCTCATGCATATTATTTGTAAAGATTCATTTGATGAATGAATGAACAGAACGCTTTATTTTCTGCTTTTCAGCATTCACACAGTTAAATCAAATCAAGATTTCCGCATTCAAATCCCCTCCCCACCAAACCCAAATCCGTTCAAAGACATTCAATCACTTCAGAGCAGGAAACAGAGAAATTAGATGCAAATGGATAACAAAAATAAAAGAAAATACATTCCACAAAATACAACTGCACATCTGATATGTATGCATACATCCCTTCCTTCCCTGACATTGAAAACAAAATATCAGTAACAATAAATTTAAAGCACAAGGTCTTCAGCTTGTTTCCAGATGAGGTTTAGTTGAATGAACAATTTAGAGATATTCTTTGATGAGAAATCATATAAGGTGAACAGTTTATCTTGATCTTTTAAGATTTCATATAATGTTAGCAGTACCAAAAGTTTCTGATTTGGATCACACCAACATTTATTTTTTTGCATTTGTTTTTTTTTCAGTGTTACAGACTGAACCAAGCCATTTTTGAAAGAAAAATTTGACTTAGGGTAGGTCGAGTTATATACAGGTTCAACTGTAATGAATTATAATAAGAAATTCTTAAGAAAACCTCATGAATATTTATTTTTAAAAATTCTTTTAATGTCAGCGGTGTCGACAGGTTCCGATTTGGATCATGCAGAACTTCATTTTTCGAGAGATTTTTTTCAGTTACAATCAATGAAACGAGACATTTTTGGCTCTGAGGAATGATGAGGAAAGAATGCACTAAAAAAAAAGCATTTCTTCCCTAAACCAAGCGCAGTCCAGCGCGCTGCACCCATTAATTGAAGCAGTAAAATCTTCAGCATTCTCTTCTCTGATTCTGCCTGAGGGCATTTGGTAATCGAAAGAATTTTCGTGATACCCTTTAATGGGCAGCACAGTACTTAATAAAATCTGCATACAGTAATGATTTTCTGGCGCTGCTGTAAAGAAAGAAAAAAAACCACTGGCGGAATTGGAAATTTTTACTCTTTTGGAAGCAGGGGTTTCAAATTCCATTGCTTTCAGCTCATGTTCAGCTTGTTTGTAACTATGGAAAAGTTTCTGTTGCATGAAATAATCTCCACAAAAATCCTGCTTACATATTTAGTTACATATAGATAAGTGGAACCTCCCCAAGGCAAATATTTTCCAAGTCCCTGTGTGAATTTCCCTATAAACCATGCATTAAAAACCTTTCAAACCCAAAGGCCTTTCCTCTAAAACCTTTGTATCTCAAATTTTCAAAGGAGGTCTTTTCACTACCATTTTATTTTCTTGACACAGGAGAGAAGAGAAAATCAATTTAAAAAGTAACTTGATATGTTTTGAAAGAAAGTGAAGGACCAATTGGTCAAATGAACCTTTGCATTCAAGTTCATTATCCTTTGAACTCATTTAAGAAGCAATTCAAAGCCCAGAGAATCACCATATATAATTTCTTGCAATTTTTATATGTTCCCCACTACAAAAAATGCTCATTTCCCCAACTCAAAACATCCTGCTGAGTCAAACTTTTTTGCTGCTCCATCGAAATTCGAAGGTTTGACGGCCAAACACCCAAATTCGAAAACTCGTGTGTCAGGACTCAGAAAACGATCTCTCAATATAAATAATCGTACATTAATCATTAGAAACCTTTAAAAAACTGAAACCATTTAATTGAAGATCTCTGGAAGAAGATGGATCCATGTTTGTGGCCAGTCGTCGCCAATCAGCGTTCCAGAAACAAACAACTTCATCCTTTTCAAAAAATATTTCAATTTTTCGGGGATTGCTTGGTTAATTACGGGTTCCCAGTCCCTGGAGCGAAAGGAGGCATTGATATGATGATGGGGTTAGGTTTTCTTGGAGCATTGAATATCAAGGCCAGGAATGACAACCAAGGTGAGTAATGATGGCGATTTCGGGAGTGAAAAGGAACCACAATAATCGCAATTTAAGTAGAACCCAGTGTACTGTACTTCCTGGTTCTCAATGATGGGTTCAAAAATTATTTCACCACCAGTGCTGGGGAACCAGAACTGGGGCCCAGGGACGTCAGGTCCCAGGACCTGGATTCTGGTCCCGTTTTTTTTTTCTTCTTCCATGCACATTTTGTCCACCAATCACAGGTGGGGGAAAAAGTCCAGTGCTTCCATCAGGTCAGCTGACAGAAGCATTGTGGTAAATTGTATAAAAACCCATCACTCTTCCACTTCCAATAATCAGTCCTCAAAATTAGCTCTTAAAGTAAACTTCCTCCAAACATTCCAACCCCAATTCTTCTGATTGAATTGTTGCATTGCATTATTGCACCCTATATTTGTGTGCACAACTTTATTATTCTCATTGAACGTATGTTGCATTATTGAATTTATTGTAATGTATCATTTTTGTATTGTGTTTGATTGTGATTCATTATGGACTGCAATTAAACCAGACAAAACTAGGGATATGTAATTATGGTACCCTCTTAATTACATATTCCTGGCCTCTAACCAGCTGATTGCCCTGCCTTATTATTTCCCACCTTTTCTTCCACTGGCTATGGTTCAATTCTTTATGTTGGGTTGATCACTTCCTTAACAACAAGCACAACAAATGTAATTTTGTGAAATTTCAAATGCAATTATGAAGTGAATAAAGAAACAGACCAAAATTTTCATATGACAACACCTAAACATCAGGTACAGTTCAAAAATTCAAAGAGTTCTGCTGAGTTGTTACAAAAGAGTTGTTACTGTTGATACTGTTTTCTTGAAACCCTAATTTTTGAGTCAAATTAAAATACATTTTCAAACAGTTTTAATTAGGAACCCTAAAGGGATTCCTGGCCTTGTCCAAGGCTGATTCTGAGTTTTATTTGAACTTTTCTTTATTCTTCACTAGATCCACTTGTCAATTTCTTATAAATTTATGTTGTGGTATGTCATTTGCCAACAACAGTATTCCCCAACTCAAAAGGTCTATTCTATATGATTCAAATGCTTTTTGGAGTCCCTTAAAATTCCAACTAGAGAAGTTCAAGATGTACAGGTGGACTTTTCCTACAATAATCTTGACTGCAACAATTTTATCTTTATAACAAAAATATTTTTGGTCACATAGGGTTCTCTCCCCATTGTTCTAGGGGTTCTCTACAACCAATTTTTACTGGTCCCATGAATTTAATTGTAGAGAGAGTTCACCTGTATCAATTTTTTACCAAGAGATCCAGTTGAGAACCCCTGCTTCATTTCTTTTTTCTTGTTTAAAAAAAGCGGACTATGGGCTCATGAAACGACTTCTCTTTTGTTTTGGTTCAGCCATGACCAGGACCTTTCTTTAACTACAGTGACCTCAGCTTCAAGAGCATTCAGAAAAAAAGAGGACCATCCTGCTGTATACAAGACTGCTTTTTTATACACGTTTGAGCCAATAAGATGCCTGACAGAAGCTGCGTCATAAAAAATGTTTTCCGGACGTTGCTCCCGCGTGGCAAGCTTCGCATCACGCCGCTGGGATGCGCTTAATATTCTGTTTCTTTTTCTCTTGGTATGATAAATGACGTAGTCTTGAAGAAAAGTATAAAGAAAAAAAACAAGCGGGCGATGGAGGAGAAGGTGCCAGACAAATCGGATACAGTTATTTGAGTGCAGAAAGGCCGAGTTTGATCGCGTCGTTCAATTGCTCACGCGCGTGCACAGAAATGTGTAGAGCTTTCATAACTTAAATGAAATGCTTGATTGTTCGAAGAATTTATGCGTGACGGTTCAAGTCTATGATGGGGATTATATGAATAACTTATTTGGACACAATGAAAACTCTACAATCGTAAAATGTCTCTATAGCTCGTCTAAAATCGTAGCCAAGGCATCAGATGCTTTTGCCAAAATTATCTTCAAGTCAGAGTCAAGTTATATTACCTGAATAATCAAGGAAATGTGCAAGAAAGCAATCATGCCGTGATATAATATGTTTGGTAGAAAATTTGCAGAAGAATTTTGTTTGTCAAAGACCAAATTTGCCATGGAATTGTAAACTGATTAATGCAACTTCTTATCAGTGTAATAATTACATTTGAATTTCTCTTTTTGCACATGCAGACACATGCAGTCTGCAAAAAGTTCTTATTGCACAATGATAAGGGAGGAAAAATAGATATCAACTTTTATAGTCAGCATCAGCATATGGATTTTGAAGGAAGGGCAAGGAAAACATCAGTGTGCCTATAACAGTATTATTGGGGTTAAGTTTGTTGAACCACAATTTGACCTCACTGTAAGTGAACAACTTAGTGAATGTACAATTTTTGCTTATTTGCATTCCTTAAATTCCTTTAAGAACATTCGAGTATAGATCCTTGTAACTCTATGATTTTCTCCCTCTTGGTCAACATCTCCTCCTGGAAATAATTTTCAAACTTTTTCCAAATTGAGGTCTATTTACAAATTATGTATTTTTTAAACTGCTTATGGGCACATCATGTTTGTAAAAGCATGTTGACCTACTCCCCAAAGGTTATTGAGATTGCAAGGTGAATTTCCAGCATTATTCCTGCTTTTGTCTGAAACTTGGTCAGCATTTTCTACCAGGGGAGAAAATATAACAGACTTTTTCTCAACTGGGTTGGTTTCCCTGGCTTGGTTCAAAATTTTGATTTTTCTTTTCAGTGCTCATGGGCACACCATTCTGCAAAAATATTCTTATTTTGCAGCAAAATGTTAATGAGATTGTGGTGTTGATTCTCAACATGATTCCCTGCTTTTGTCTGAAACTTTTCAAAAATTCCTGCTGATGGAAGATAAAAAAAAGACTTTTTCCCAACTTGGGCCTTGGTTCAAAAATTGCATTTTTTTCTTGTCAGTATTCATCATGGACATACAATTTTGCCAACTATCTGGAATTATGTTTATGCAATTATGGCGTGGATTCCCACCATTATTCTGAATGTTAAAATTTCTGCTGAAAAACTCAGTTTTCCTCCCAAATAAGCCTTGGTTCACTGATCAGAGTTTTTTCAGTCCTCATATAGGCAAAAAAGGTTTTTCAAGCCTACAGTCAAACCTTTTTAAGTCAAATTTCAAGGGACCTGCCAAAAATTCAACTTAGAGAGGTTTTGACTTAGAGAGGTCAGAAATGTCATGGGTTGGAACTGCAATACAAAGCCCTTTTTTTGGAAAACTTGGAAAAAATGTAAATGGAGATATGTATTCTAAAGCTCAAATGGATTCTAAAATGAGTTGAAAGGCTGCTGAACTTGGAGGCAGGGGTTCATGTGCCCAATTAAGTCTTCCACTTCCTTTAAAACACATAAATTTCTGCTTTAACTGCTTTTTTCTTCCTTTTTTCAAGAAAATAATGGCCAACAGGCCACAGAAAATTCAACTTACATAGGTTTTAGGGGAAAAGCCTTTGACTTAGGGAGGTTTTTCATGTAGTATTGTTTCCAAGGGGATTCAGAAGGGATCTGAAAAAATTGACTTAACCCTTGGATGGCAAAGGGTTCTTTCCCATTGCTGGCCAAAATTTGATTATTCTTGTATGCTAAGGCGTTTTAATTTTTCTGAAGGTCAAAAAAGACCTTCCAGGTGGGCTGAGGCAAAGTCGGGATTAATCCGATGAAAAGCCCATTGCTTAACATAGCATTTTTTCATTTTCCCACAAAATTTTTCTGCACAAAAAGAAAAAAACATCGGATTTTTCCCTGACTTTGTCCTCAAATCCCTGTTGTCCTTTTTTTATTTTCTGCCCTGAGGTGCAAAAAAATTTCGAAAAAATAGTCCGACTTTGCCACCCAAGGGTTAAAGGGGTATTTGACTCAGTGAGGTTTGAGTTATTGAGGTTCACCTGTATCCTGACTTGGCAGCAGAAGGGTTATTGAAATTTCAGTGTGGACTTCCAACATTCTTCTTCCTTTTTGTCTAAAACTTGGTTCAGCAGCTTTTGAAAAAAAAAAAAATCCAACCTTCCTTCTCCACTATATAAAGGTAAAGCGCTAGTCAACCGGGTCACCCTTTACATGACCGTGGGAGAACGGTGGTCGAGTTCAACGTACAACATGTGTCGGTTGCCGATCCAGCCCATCAGCAGCCGTCGTTATTTTTATATCCCCGCCAAGCGACGCCGCATCAGTCATTCAGGGCCGCGCGCGGTCACGAATCAATTCTCCGACCAAGAAAAAAGCCCACTTCTCTCCCATTTACCAACATCAATGAAGTCTAGTGGAAGATCGTTTCTCCTCTAGTTTTGAGGGGGAAAATGGAATAAAAATAAACGCACATGTGTGTGGGGGATATGCGAAAAGGAGCCGCCGCCGACGACGACGACGACGAGTGATGGCGACACGAAGAACTCGGAAGAATCACAAGCTTTCTTGCCAGCAATACAAGGAAAATCGGGGCATGACTTGGTTGGTCTTGCTTCACTGAAAAGCATCTGATAAAATACGTATGATATGTTTCAAGCGAGTATGTTTTTACGTGTTTACAGGAGATTCACATTTGGACGCTGTTGATGGTCGATTTTATATTATTGCGTTGTTCAGCAGTGGAAATCGTCACGATAACCTCTTGAGATCATTTTACGAAATTTCAAGTCAAATCTTGCGTCGTTCTGTTGACAAGATTTTCGTGGTATGATTCTCCTGATTTATAATAATTCTAACGGCGAAAATTCTGCAACTGCTTGATGTTGACATAGGCTACAGCAATTTAGAAGGGTTACGATTTTTTATGCTTATACATGTGTACAACGCAACCCATTGTGAAATATGAGTCATTTTCGAAGAATAAAATCGGGAAATACATATTTTGAAAGTAACCCATGCTTAGAATATCAATTTACTGTACACATATTTTTTTCCATTTGTCATTAGAACTGAGGTTGAACCCATCTAAATCAAACCTTTCCAGTTAAAAACATTCTCAACATGAATTTTCTTGTATAGTACTGCATAGGCTAAACCCCCAAAGTACAAAGCCAATGCATTTTAACCTCCGTTTTTATAAAAATATTTGACTATAATCTCTTGTAGTTTCAAAAAGATTTCGTGAATAAAAATACTTTGACTTATATGTCATGACATATTAAATATTCTGACCAAAGTTTTTTCCTTCTTTAGTCTATTTACGAATTAGCATTATGTCATGATCTTGTTTTTATTAATCGCATTTTCCTGATAGAACATTTTAGAATGATGAAGACATTCAATAGTTAAGCCAGCAGAAAACCTTTTCTCTTGATTAATCAACACAAATCAAGTGACCTTGCCTAAATCCAAAATTCTTGAAGCTCAGTATTTTTTCAAGTCTCTTCAAATATAACGTGCAAAGACAAGGTTCACATGTATTGAAATAATTATAATCAAGTAAATCAATTTTCTACTCATAATTAAACTCATCTCGGGACAGGCTGAAAATGCTTCAATTTGTGATCAGTTATAGCCTTCATTGTGATGTGTTTATTTGTCATTCTTAAAAAAAAAAATGTATGGCAATTCATCATTCATGCATTTGTGTGCAATGCGATGTATTTTCTTTCAAACCTATACTGTATAGTAAATTGTTTTCATACAGACCAGAATATGTCAAATGGATGTTTGCTGGGGATGGGGTGTGGGAAATTTTTTTTTAATTTTGTGAATGCTGACAGGTGGCAAATAAAGCTTTTATATTATTCAATTGAAAAGGAAGTACAATTTACAATTGTTTTGTTTGCAAATCATTCTCATGAGAACCCTTTTCAGTCAAATACGGCTGGTTTCCAATTTTTCACAAAATTTCATGAAAAAACAAACTAATTTCAGCATTACTTTCCTCGTCTGGCTTGTTTTTAAAACGATGTTTGAATGATTTGAATATATTTTAGTTCGTCTTCTAAGCTCTAAGACATTTGAGTCTTTTGCATGTTCAAATCCAACCTCAGCTGTATGGTTTCAATAAATAAGCACAGCCAGGAAAACTTACTTGCGCGGGTCTCGCTGTATAACCCAAATAAAATAAAAATAATCTTGATAAACCAAACCCTAGAATTACAGCTTCCTCAGAAACGCGTAAATAAATGTTCGTGGGTTGTAAATCAAAGTACCTTGACATAATTTTTCGCGCTAGACAAAGAACCCAGCCCAATGTAATCACACAACACGACACTCGATCCCGGCTTGAGCTCCGTGCCCGACAAAGGGGCTCATTTCCGAAGGAGAACTTGTGTTCTTGATGAATCACAGTCGCGGCACGCCCAAGAAATGGACCATCATCCGTCTCAATTGCACGCATAAATGACGGGTATTAGTAATCGTGAGTTTCACGGCAATATAATATAGTCCAGACTACCGCGGGAAAGAGACGGTTTAGTTTGAATCCTGATTTGGTCATGCCAATCTGAGGAGAATCGATGGAATATACGATGGATACAGTTATGATATCGAAGTCACGATAATGGAACCTAAAGCACTAGAGAAAATATCCGACGACGAGCGGAAGTGAAACGCGTGGAAATTATTTTCAAACCACAACGACAGTTCTCGAAATTGTATCTGTACTGTTTATGGCTTTGAGTAAATGGTTGACGTTTTCTCTAAGTCTATGCGAAGCTCATCAGCTGAATTCAAATACACAATCGTGATTTTAATTTTTTTTTCAGCAGACAAAAGAAACGAATACTTGGGTTACATGAATAAAAACAGCAACTCCGAAAATCGTCCAGTTGGGGGCGGATGGATATGTTTTATATGTTGCGACATCTATGTAGATTGCATGGACCTATATGTTCAATTGGTTTTTTAAAACACGGCTAGATGTCTCCTGAGTAACCCGACCACGGTTCAATACAATACAGTACACCACACGATTAAGGTATACAGTACAAAACTGTACAGTATTTTCAACAGATAGAAGTCGTCCCTCGGGGGAACGTATGAGAAGAAAAATGTGCAGAATAAAATCGAAACTTCATGTGCTCCATGTATGATTAGTTGATTTTCTTCGTAATTTTATTTGCACGAGAAAATCTGATGGCTAGATATAAAGTATTCACAAAATGTTTCACTGTTTAAAAGAAGTAATGGGTCAGATATTTTCGAATCGAATGCAAGGTTGTCTGCCAACAAAGGTCATTGACACAGAAAATCCATTGAACATTGAAAGCCCAAGATTTTATTTTGAAAGTACAATAATACAGTACTGCATTAAATTATCTTTGTCAGCTTTTGACTATACTTTTTTCAACGATCATGGCATTTGAAGGAAGATCACGAATTCGGTTTGGTAACACGAAATTTCGCCGAAAATATTATTATTTTTACGGAAGAGAGTATTTCCAAATCGACGAGACGTACGTAATTTATTCTCACTTACCTTCTGTTCAATAACATACTTCTCCTAAACTGAATTGTAGTCATATTTACGACCACAACACCCTTCACTTTACGCGTGACCCTTTTAAGCTAATGTATTTCCGCTACGCTTGGCTGCGCCTGGCGCGCTAGCAATTATATTTCCCAATCCCGTTGTTGACGGAATTCTTTCTCAACCGCGNATTTTTTTCCATTTGTCATTAGAACTGAGGTTGAACCCATCTAAATCAAACCTTTCCAGTTAAAAACATTCTCAACATGAATTTTCTTGTATAGTACTGCATAGGCTAAACCCCCAAAGTACAAAGCCAATGCATTTTAACCTCCGTTTTTATAAAAATATTTGACTATAATCTCTTGTAGTTTCAATTTCTAAAGCACTTATTTTTATGAAACTGAATATACAGTACTGTATAATTTATAAGACTGGTTTCAAAAAAGGAAGAAATCAGATAAATGCTTAATCGTAATACAGTACTAGAACAAAAATAATTAGTCATTTTCCTGATAGAACATTTTAGAATGATGAAGACATTCAATAGTTAAACCAACAGAAAAGCTTCTCTCTTGATTAACCAACACAAATCAAGTGACCTTGCCTAAATCCAAAATTCTTGAAGCTCAGTATTTTTTCAAGTCTCTTCAAATATAACGTGCAAAGTCAAGGTTCACATGTATTGAAATAATTATAATGAAGTAAATCAATTTTTTACTCATAATTAAACTCATTTTGGGACAGGCTGAAAATGCTTCAATTTGTGATCAGTTATAGCCTTCATTGTGATGTGTTTATTTGACATTCCTAAAAGAATTATGGCAATTCATTACTCATGCATTTGTGTGCAATGTGATGTATTTTCTTTCAAACCTATACTGTATAGTAAATTGTTTTCATACAGACCAGAATACGTCAAATGGATGTTTGCTGGGGATGGGGTGTGGGAAATTTTTTTTAAATTTTGTGAATATTGACAGGTGGCAAATAAAGCTTTTATATTATTCAATTGAAAAGGAAGCATGCACGATTTACAATTGTTTTGTTTGCAAATCATTCTCATGATAACACTTCTCAGTCAAATACGGCTGGTTTCCAATTTTTCACAAAATTTCATAAAGAAAAAAACCAATTTCAGCATTACTTTCCTCTTCTGGCTTGTTTTTAAAACGATGCTTGAATTATTTGAATATATTTTAGTTCGTCTTCTAAGCTCTAAGACATTTGAGTCTTTTGCATGTTCAAATCCAACCTCTGCTGTATGGTTTCAATAAATAAGCACAGCCAGGAAAACTTACTTGCGCGGGTCTCGCTGTATAACCCAAATAAAATAAAAAAATCTTGATTAACCAAACCCTAGAATTACAGCTTCCTCAGAAACGCGTAAATAAATGTTCGTGGGTAGTAAATCAAAGTACCTTGACATAATTTTTCGCGCTAAACAAAGAACCCAGCCCAAAGTAATCACACGACACACTGGATCCCGGCTTGAGCTCTGTGCCCGACAAAGGGGCTCATAAGGCTTCCTCTTGAACACAAGAACTACTTAGTGTCAGCGCCGTGCGGGTTCTTTACCTGGTAGTAGGCAGAGTTAACGTGCGTATTTACTGCCCATAATCATTAGCACTCAAAGTGCCGTTATATTGATAGTCGAGACTACCGCGGGAAAGAGATGGTTTGTTTTGAATCCTGATTTGGTCATGCCAATATGAGGAGAATCGATGGAATATATGATGGATGCAGTTATGATATCGAAGTCACGATAACGAAACCTAAAGCACTAGAGAAAATATACGACGACGAGCGGAAGTGAGACGCGTGGAAATTTTTTTCAAACCACAACGACAGTTCTCGAAATTGTATCTGTACTCTTTATGGCTTCGAGTAAATGGTTGACATTTTCTCTAAGTCTATACGAAGCTCATCAGCTGAATTTAAATACACAATCGTGATTTTTATTTTTTTCAGCAGACAAAAGAAACGAATATTTGGGTTACATGAAGAACAACAGTAACTCCGAAAATCGTCCAGCTGGGGGGCGGATGGATATGTTTTTTATGTTGCGACATCTATGTTGATTGCTTGGAACTAAATGTTCAATTGGTTTCTTAAAGCACAGTTAGATGTCTCTTGAATAACCCGACCACGGTTTAGAACAATACACCACACGATTAAAGTATACAGTACAATACTGTACAGTATTTTCAACAGATAGAAGTCGTCCCTCGTGGGAACGTATGAGAAGAAAAATGTGCAGAATAAAATCGAAACTTCATGTGCTGCATGTATGATTAGTTGATTTTCTTCGTAATTTTATTTGCACGAGAAAATCTGATGGCTAGATATAAAGTATTCACAAAATGTTTCACTGTTTTATAAAAGAAGTAATGGGTCAGATATTTTCGAATCGAATGCAAGGATCTCCGCCAACAAAGATGATTGACATAGAAAGTCCATTGAACATTGAAAACCCAAGATTTCATTTTGAAAGTACAATACAGTACTGTATTAAATTAACCTTGTCAGCTTTTGACTATTATTTTTTTCAACGAACATGGCATTTGAAGGAAGATCACGAATTCGGTTTGGTAACACGAAATTTCGCCGAAAATATTATTTTTTCACGGAAGAGAGTATTTCCAAATCGACGAGACGTACGTAATTTATTCTCTTTTACCTTCTGTTCAATAACATACTTCTCCTAAACTGAATATTGCTTCATATAAACATGATTTTTTTAATGCTCGTATGCAATGATATTTTATATTCTCGTATTTCATATCCAATGATATTGTACGGTATATATTGAAACGTCGCGCTTGAAAATGATTCAAGTGCAGTTATTTACATAATTTCTCCCGGCTTACAATTATTCTTTTTTGAAATGAACTTCGCATGAAACGAGGACTAGCAATTTTTATTTCCCGTCCAATCGTCACAAGAAAGCGCGTTTCTTTCCACAAAAAATAATTTTGCCAAGAAACTAATCAATTATTGACTACCGTATTTTATTATTTTAATTTATTCCGATCTAGCTCATGATTAATATCCGTTCTTTCTTCAAGTGTATGCAGTATTACATAACACGAATATCAAATTAGCATGTTTGGAATTTTTAGCATAGTAATATAAAATGAAGGAATGTCGATGAGCTTCAATAATTTCCATATTCAATCTCAATTATCCTTTCGTTCATTTATCAAATCTGCCGTTCGTTTCGATGTAAAAAAAATTACCGAAAATTTGTTACATTTCGTGGAATCGTGGTTTTTTGAAAAAAAAAAAAAAAAAAACAGGCGAGGTCGACAGGGGAATCCGCCCTCATAACGCTTGAACTCAAAATTTTCATCAAGAGTGAACATGAAACAAAGAGAAACAAAGAGAAACAAAGTCGAATGCGCAGTAAATTGCATTAAATGCTTAGCTGAATCTCTGATTTTTTTCTTCGTCTTTCGAACGATTTAAGGGCCACTCTTTTCGAAAACGACACTCATTCTTGTTCTCAACGTCATTCTCCGTTGAAAATTTTCAGTAGAATTTCAGTTGGAACGATTTTGAAAACGTGACATAATTTTTTTCTTCTTCTGTTATTCAGTGTATAGAACATTCTCGAAGCCATACTCCGCTGTGTAGAGCCATGAAGTATTCCCTTCGGATTCAAAGTGAGTATACACAGATGACTGATGGTATTATTTGCGGGATCTCTTATAATGCCTTCGGTGTCCATCATTCTGATTAATTTCAGGCTTTCTGGCAACATGTTTCCTCGGCATTTTGGCGATTTTCCCGACGTCCGAAGGTCGTCAGAATTCCAGGGGCTACGCTGTGGAAATGTTCATGTTTGACGGGGTGCGGAAGTAGGGACTTGGTGGCCGTTGAGACGCTTTACTGGACTCTAGATGAAAAAGCATAGAGTCTGAGGGACTTCAAACGGAACCCATACAGAACACGCTTTTGGAGGTAAAAATTTGCGTCACCTTAAAGGGAGTTTTTTCCGACCGTGTATAGTAGAGGCGGAGATTTAAGGATTAAGTAACGATTTCTCACATGCGACCCAAATATTCGTTTCTTTTGTCTGCTGAAAAAAAATGAAAATCACGATTGTGTATTAAAATTCAGGTGATGGAGCTTCAGATAGAGAAAACGTGAATCATTATCAAAAATAACCGAACCGTCGCTAAAAAAAAATGTTCATAATCCACATGATTGAATCACAATAGTTTGAGAAATATTTATTCTAAAAGAATATAGAAAGATTATATTCTAAATTTATTCTAACATAAAATGTTGTGAGAGTACGGATTTCGAAAGTCTCAGAAAATTCCGAAAATCAACTTCAATGATGTCAAAATTATTTGAAGAAAATGTTTGCGAAGATGAAAAGCAACTACGAACCGCCGTTTTCTCCATCTACTTCACATGACCATAAAAAATAATCATGGATTTTAAAAAGAGGTTTTGCGAAAATTTACGGAATCCCGTTGCATTTTAGAGTTAATTCGAATTTGAAAAAAAAGAGACTTCGATTTGTATTAACGCTCGAACGTGGTGAAAATAAGCACAATTTTTTTCCCTCGCTCCTTTTATACCCACGTCGAAAAACTTGAGCTTCTTTGCTGACAATTTTAAATAAACTTTAATAATGTCAAAATGATTTGCAAAAAACGTTTGCTAAGATAAAAAACAAGACGAACCACAGTTTTCTCCATAATCTTCATTATTTGGTTGTAAAAAAAAAAAGTTATGTTGGATTTCCAACGGCGCTTTTTCGAGAATTTACGGAATTCCGTCAAATTTTAGAGGTCATTTTAAATTGTTAATAGTTTCCAATTTTTATCAACGCTCGAACGAGGAGTGAAAAAATACAGTCCTGTGCTTCTTTTATATCCACATTGAAACATTGAGCTTCTTCGTCGAAATTTCCAGCATTAAAAAGTATTGATATGTTTTAATAATTTGCAATTGAACACATCAATATAATGCTTCAATCTTCGAGTTGCTTCAAGTCTACAGTTTTATCTTATTTGAAGTCCAATGCGCGCTTTTCTCAAACATCAACTTTCAATTGATTCAAGTCAGAAACTGCTGTTTTGGCGTAATGATATAAAACGAATTCTCACGTTTTCGAAAGTTGTGAACAACAATGCCCTGAGCCAGACCCTTTTGCATCTTATAATCGATGATCTATCCTTCGAATTAGTCCTACGCACAAAATCAGGAATGCTTAACATTTTGCACCATTAAAAAATCCTAATACAGTACTTGTGACGAAATTCCAAGGAATGCAATTTCAGATCCGCGGAAATTACACCAAGTTTTTCAGCTATTTCAAACAGTTTGAATTTTTACCTTCCTTTTTTGAAATAATCGCAACACTTTAAATTTAGTTCGTATAGTTACTTTTTTGTTGGAGAGAATATCGTCGAGTACAAAAATTGACGTGCTTCAAACAGTAAGAAGTGCCGATTTTTCTCAGGAGTTCACCGCACATTTTCTTACACCTTCAAAATAAAATCACATCAATTTCAGGACCGCTGTTGAACAATGGAAAAAAAAAACTGCACTGAGAAAGATGAAAAGCTTCCAATTCAAGGATTAAAAATGCAAGAACATCATTTCAGAACTAGCCGCGGACATTTAAAAAAAAATTCCAAATCACAATTTGAAGTTTGGTTCTGTAAACTGCCCCAAGAATAGTTTCAACAATGAAAAAAAAAAATCCCCTTCAGCAAGCTCCCCCTCAACTGATTTTTTGAATGGTTCAGATCTAACTGATGAACAATTCTGAAGACTGTAAAAGGTCTTTGATGAATTTATTGAGATGGTTTTATAATCCTATTTTAAAGGCCTTTGATTGGCCAAGAAAATTGAAGTCAAAGACGTCATGGCGTCTAATACGCACTTTTGGGGTGGAATTCCTGGTTAAGAAGTAAGGATATATTTCAGGAATAAGATCACACAGCATAACAAGCTCTTGCTTCAATTAGATAATTGGATAAAATGATTCTAAGTTCTGCAATTTACCAGCATGACTATTTATATTTAACCTTCAATAGCCTTTACAAGCCCTTCACAAGGCTTGTCAATCAGTTTTAAGAGGGAGGTAAAACTCTTAAAAGATTCAAGTCAAGTATATCATTAATTTGCTTGCCTAACAGAAAATTTTGCTCAATTTTTTCCGTTTTTCCATTCAAATGGTTTTTTCCCCTTTTGATTGACAAATCTTTAACTTAGACGAAAAGAGGAGCTATGCGAGTACCCAAGACAAGAGACAATCGCATGAAAAAAGTTCTAATTTTTCCAAACGATTTTTAATAATTTTTCTGCTGCTCGGGGGTTCTTGTGTGTGTGTTTAGGGGTTACGAGGGGATGAGTTCCCAGAGCGTTTACTGCGCTTACAACGCCCGTCACACAGGTTGCCTGTACAACAAGGTGAACGGAGCCACTTGTGGAACTGTCTATGTCCGAAAAGTTACCGAGGCCGAGAAAACTGCGATTCTCGACGCGCACAATGCAAAACGGCGGCGAGTGGCTGAAGGTTCGGAGACCCTCGGAGTTGGAGGCGGCCAACCGAAGGCGGCGAACATGAGGAAATTGGTCAGTTGCATTTTTGAATCATCGTCATAATCAATGAGAAATCAAATCACGCACAGGAGTAGAAAAAAAAAACGAAAACAGGGGTTGAATCCCGTTGAAAGTCGTCAGCATCACAATAACACGATATCGTGAAAATTCTTCAGCAATTTGCAACTCAGAAAAGTTGTCATGTCGAGATGATCAGAAGAGTAACTCATCCGAACCTTTGTCCACCGTCTTCATGATTGATTCTGATGCTGTACAGTGAGACCCCGAGATGCGGACGTAATTGGTGCATCAAGAGTGTCGCTAAGTCAAAATGTCCCTAAGTTGAGCCTTGTTTTCCCATGGACTTACATTATAAAATTTTTCATTGGTGTTTTGCGGAAGAAATATTCTTCAGAATTCCCTGAAAAAAATTGTTTGCCACTTGAATTTGAATTAGTGAATACATTTTCAACTCAATGAGAACATTTGGAGCATTGAATAGTGTATCTNCATTTTTAATACTTGAATTTGAATTAGTGAATACATTTTCAACTCAATGAGAACATTTGGAGCATTGAATAGTGTATCTTTGTACTGTACACTGGAATTTTGGCATATATAAAAATTACATTCAGGTGAAAAAAAGTAGAAGTCCCTCTATGCCGGAGGTAATTTTTTTAATTAGCTAAGTGGATGGTAATTTGGTGAGAGAAATGCCCAAGAACTTTCCTTACATCAATTTTAGGTTTGGAAATATGCGTTTCTTGTAATTTGGCCTAAAATATATTTGCAATTTTATCACAGAATGTCCCTATGTTGAGTCAGTGTCCTCATGTCGGGCCTTATTTATTGATTTTTTTCTGGGAAAATATGTGTCCCTATGTCGAATTGTCCGCAGGTGGAGGCGTCCGCATGTGGGGGTCTCACTTGTACATTTACTAGAACATATTTCTCGAAATTAAAAACAGCTACGAATTGCACGCAAAATTAAAGCTGCTGTTGAATGCACACTGATCAATTCTTTAGCTGTCATTACATCGCACTTTTTGTGTAAAACTGAAATTCATGGCTGGTGACCGAGTTGGATAGTCAAAAGTGTGATCACGACAAATAACAAGGAAGAATCCCGTAGATTTCGATGTTCAAGTACTCGTGAAAATTCTACGAAAGTTCGTTACAGTGGAAAATTTGTGGAGTTTGAGGATCTGGAAAGCTCGTAAATTTGCTCACTTGTATTTTGAGGCCTGCACATTTAGAAAGAAATGTTCCCGCCGATAGAAGGTATTTTTTCCATTCTTTCCCTTTAAAATATGATTAGTAATCTATTCATAATAGCTCTGATGAACAAAATAGTGGATTCGAAAAATGGTAATATTCACTGTCGTTTTTTCAGACTTGGGACCCTGAAGCAGCCTCACTTGCACAATTATGGGCTGATCAATGCACATTTTCGCACGACGCCGTTCATCATACGGGTTCGTTGAAACGCATAATTTTTTTGATTGCCATGCAAAAAAAAAAAAACTTTCGTTGATTATTTCCGAATCAGACGTGCAAGTAGGAAGGATTTACAATGGGCAAAACTTATACATCAGTGGAAGTTTCTCCAGCTCATCGGCAGCAAGTTGGACAGCAGCTGTTGATGCGTGGTACAGCGAAGTCGCAGATTGGAATCCCTCTAATGTTAACTCTTACGTGTAAGAAATGCGTGGAACGAATTGATGTACTGTATTATGGTACAGTGTTTGAAATTCTAATCCACCGTTGATGTGTTTTGGATTTGAACAGATTCAATTCTGCGACTGGACACTACACTCAAGTCGTCTGGGCCACAACGACTAAGGTCGGTTGCGGATACATTTTGTACCTGCCCCCAGGCGAAACCACCTACAAACAGTTCTACGTTTGCAACTACAGTCCCGGAGGAAATACTATTGGTACCCAAGTGTACGCTCAAGGAGATCCCTGTACTTCTTGTCCCACAGGAACTTCATGCGTGGATACATCTTTGTGTGGATAATCGCCAGGCTCGTCGGTTCACCATAACAAGGAGTGTGAAATTGCACAACACCCAAATGCATACATTTCGAATTGTGCGGATGTTCGAGAAGCAGATATAAATAAAAAAGAGGAAGTGTGGCAATCCCAACAAGATTTGTTTTTCTTTCGGGAAAGATGAAATACCGACTGCTTTCCCTCCCAACGAGTTCCTCGAAAAATCACAATAATCCTGGACATGTTTTCGAAGTAGAACATTTTCCATGCGTGACATTCAGAACCAAAAAAAAAAAAAAGAACCACAATTTTAGTTGAATTAATTTCAATTTTCTTGACCATCTGTGGAGCCTTTGGAAAATTCGTAAGCATCACTTATCGAGTTGTGGCTCAGCAGGAAAAAATAAATTGGAAATCTCTGAGGGCATATAATATATTCAGCATTGAATGGTACGCGTGATTTCTTCACTGAATCCGTTTTTGCAGCTGAACGGGATTTTCGCACAAACAGTAATTTTCCGACGCGTAAATTACATTCGAACGCATTCTAGATTTCTCGTGCAGTGTGAAAATTCAATGCCAGAGCGAGAAACTTTTCGCCCGACCTTTGAATTTGAATTTCAAACATTTTCGCATCAAGTGTTACGAGTTTCGTCATTACGGATCAGTGAATCAAAAACACTGAACATTGAGACCAGAGATTTAAATTTCTTACAAGATTAAATTCATCGTCCTTGCTCTAAGTTGTGAAGTCCTGTGAATATGTACTGTACTCATTTATAAAATCAGCACGACATTTGAACGAGACTACGAATTTTTGTTCGGTATGAAATCTCAACGAAAAGTCTGAGTCGTATAAGTCCCTTTATTATGAGGAGCATAATAAGGAAATAAATCTTTAGAATGAAATCGAAACCTCGTATAAGGTGCAATTATTGGAATTTCCTCATTAATTTTTCAGGAAGAAAATATCCGGCTAATTATGAAGCGATATTTTGATTGGATTTTAAATTATGTGGCAAATCAACGCCAGGCGTTTTTGACTCGAGTGCAACAATTTTCATCAACAAAGGTCGGTGACTTGAAAAAATTAAATATTCAAAACCCCGAGATTTGATATTTGAAGGCACAAGTATAGCATTCAAAAATTCCTTGTGCTTTAAAGCACAGTACTGTACTTTTGAGTTGAACTCAGAATTTGAAAGATGATGACAAATTTATTGTGGACTTGGAATGTCCTAAAAAAAAGCACTTTTGTTCAAAAAAGAAAAGCAAAGATTGCCAAGAAATCAATCTCTCATCAACCTTACTTATCATCAACCTCTCCACCGATAACAGAATTTTCCCAATCTGTTTGTCACATGCAATAAAAATTTTTTTTATTTCCTGTGAATATATTATATTCTTGTATTTCATAGTTAATAATACTCATTCAAGCCCCACAATAGAAATTTTCATATATTATATTCTCCTATTTTATACAGTCAATAATACTTATTTAATCCCCGTGATATAATTTTTCATGATTTGAATAATGATTCCTCCCGGCATTGAATGATTTTTTATTTGGTATTTTAATGAATGTAGCATTTAAATGAGCGTAAGAATCTTGATCTGACTTGTAATCTTGCTGATGAAACTTCTTTTGTTCCATGAAACCCCTATTGCCAATACTGTATGTCGATTACTTAATGACTTGAATTATTTCAATCTCATGGACCTTACAATCAATAAGCAAATTTTCTTCAAGTACATACTCCAAAACATGAACTTGAATTCAATATTTTCGGAAATATCTGCGGTAAGATAGGATATTCCGATGAGCCCTGGAAATCGGCACATTCTAAAATCGAAATCATCTTCACGTTCATTCACATAATCTGCTTTTTGTTCAGTTATCAAACATTTTAGAAATGCCGTGGAATTTTTTGTGTGACAACAAACAAAGGCGAGGTCGACTTTCGAAAAGAATTCGTCCCTCTTAACGCACGAACTCAACAATTTCATCCACAACGTCAGTGAAACGAAGTTTTCAGGGATTTCAAGCGCACTTGATTTATTGTTTTTTTTTTTCCCCGGACTAAGACAATTTTCCAACGTGGAAAAAAGTCGAGCAGAAGTGGAAAACAAAATAAAATGCAGGAAAAAACTCAACTTCAACCGCGTTTGTCTCCCGAACGATTTAAAGGCTCACGATTTTCGATAACAACATTCAGTCTTGTCCTTAACGTCATTCTCGGCTGAAAAAATAAATTGAGAATAATTTCAGTTGTAACGAAATACGAATTTCAAACGTGAATTGTTTTCCGTTTAGACAGTGTTACACAACGTTGTCAAAGACATCACGTACGTGGCAGAGTCATCATGAAGTTTTCTCTGCAGATTCAAAGTGAGTAAAGATTGTTTATTGGCTTTGTGATCATTGTGTTTAATAGCTCGAATGTTTATCATGTCAATTGATTGTAGGCGAATTGAAGGCGATTTTCCTGGGAATTTTGGCAGTATTTCCATTATTGGAAGCGCATGAGTATTCGGGTGGTTATGCTGTGGAATTCTCCGCATTTCCAAAAGCGTCCTTCTTCAATGATCCACCTGCTTTTGTATGGAATGACCTGAACCCGACATTATCGCATCTTAGAATCGATGACGTGTGCCTCGGGTACGTAATATGTCCTATGCAGAATGTGCAAAAATCAGGATGGTTGCATCTTTCGCGCAGAATTCATCGTTGCAATTTTTAGCAGCTATATAACGAGAAAGGTAAAATTTTAGCTCTAAAGAAATTGAGGTAAGATTTTCCGGCGATTCTAACTTCTGAAAAATTCAAGCTTCTTCGTGGAAATTAGAGTATGTTACCCCTTGCAAAAAATATTCCTTTGCAAAAAATCAGGATGCTTTTAACTTTTGTGTCGATTTTTTATATTTTAAACCAGCTGTCACGTGTGACATAAAATTTCAGCTATGCAGAAATTAAGCAAAGACATTCCTTTGTTTCGCCCTTGAAATAAATCAGGATGGCTAAAAATTTTGGCCCAATTTTCGCTTTATTTTATCAATCTATTACTGTTTATATGCAATGTCAGCTGTTCAGAAATTGAAGAAAGATTTTCCTTCGTTTAACATTTGTGAAAAATTCAAGACTCTTCGGTAAAATTTTTGTATATAACACAATATCTCCTATATGCAAAATATCAGGATAGTTCAAACTTTTGCGTCGATTTCCGATATTTTTTTCAACCAGATATTGCTAGTGACAGAAAATTTCAGCTCGTCCGCTGAAATTAAGCGAAGATTTTTCTTCATTTCGCATTTTTCACAAATTTATCGTATTTGTTGAAATATGGCCTATCTCCTACAAAAAGAACAAAGATGGTTGAAACTTTTTAGCCGAATTAAAATTTGAAGCACCAAATTAGTTTATTAGTTTTGACATGAAATTTTCGATCTTCAGAAATTTTGAAAATTCGAATTGTTAATTTACCAGCTATTCCTTGTGACAAAAATTCAGCTATACGCACATTTAGCAAAGATTTCCCGTTTTTCACAGGTTTGTGAAAAAATTGAGCTTCTTGATGGTTTAGATTCGGGAATGTCATATTTTCTATGCAAAAATTAGGATGATTCAACCTTTTGCGTCTATTCTGGATTTCTTTCACCTGCAGCTGTTGATTGGGCATCTATGGAATTTCAATTTCTGCAGAAATTAAAGTAACATTTTTCGTTTGTTTTACACTTACGAAAAAGGCAAGCGTCTTTGTCAAAATTCGCAGCAATTCGAAAGAAATTTGTAAATAATTTTTGTTGTTGAAGAATAATATAACGTTGATTGCAATCTTCAAACAGTGCTTCAAGGTTTAAGCGGCCATTTTTCGCCAAAAGTCCGACGCGCGTTAGAAACCGCCGCTATGATGCCTTAATATGCAAAAAATGAAAAAAAAATTTGAATTTGTTCCGGTATTCTTTTTTTGGTAGGGGTTACGAGGGATTGAGCACCCAGAGCGCTTACTGCTCTTACGATCCCAAGCACACAGGTTGCGTGCACACAAAGATCAACGCAACGTCTTGTGGAACTGTTTTTGTCCGAAAAGTCACCGAGGCCGAAAAAACTGCGATTCTCGACACGCACAATGCAAAACGGCGGCGAGTGGCTGAAGGTTTGGAGACCCTCGGAGTTGGAGGCGGCCAACCAAAGGCGGCGAACATGAGGAAATTGGTTAGTCGAAATCTCGATCATGTTCAATACAAAAAAAAAAAGCGCAGATTTAAAACTCGATGATAATTTGATTCTCAGACGGTATTCTCAAATCGAGAAGTGCAAAAAAATAACTTGGACCCTTCATTTGTTCGCAGACTCCATTATTAAAGTTTGGATGTTTAGAACAATTTTTTCGATCATTAAACAGCAACGATTCCCTTGCAAAATTAGACGCTGGCATATTCAGAACTTAGTTTCCATTATAAATAAGCATCAGTGACGAATGTTACGCAATATCCGATTTAATCCCTGGCTTTTTGCTTCGCCGAATGAATATCCTTTTGTTGCAAAAATAAAAAATAAAATAAAACGGCTAGTGGCTCAAAGATTGGAGACCCTCGGAGTTGAAGGTGGCCAATCGAAGGCAGCGGACATGAGAAAATTGGTTAGTCGAAGTCTTGATCCTGTTCAATAAAACAAAGCATGGAAAAAAAAGCTCAGGTTGAAAAATCGATAATAATTTGATGCTCTGAAAACATTTTGAAATCGACATGCTCAGAAAAATAACTTCCACGCTTTGTTCGATGACTACATTACTGTATTAATGTTTGGATATTCAGAACATATTTTTGATAATTAAACAGCAATGATGCCCTTGAAAAATTAGACGTTGGCTTATTCAGAACCCAGAGGGTTACGCAAAGCCCGATTTATCCCTGGTATTTTACTTCCTCGATTCTGTGGAGATCTTTTGATGCAAAAAAATCTGAAAATTTTCTGCGTGCTGGACTTCAAGGAAAATTTGAAAGGAACAACTCCTCCTTCACCTGTCGACGTGGAAAATTTCAGCTGTAAAATTTGTGAATAAAGACAGCTGAACGATGAAGCAGTTTTTAAACACAGGATTTGCGTTTAAATTTAGAGAGGAATTTTCATCAGAGTAATATACACTAGTCGGATGCTATACCAGACAAATTCTCAGCGATTGACACACAAATAACAGGACCGTTTTCTTTACAATCATGAATTACACGTACAGTACTGTGCAATGTGCGCATTCTATTTTGATTTTTTTCTGAAAATAAGGAGATGGAAAATCAATTGTAAAAATGTAAAAAATATACGCCCATCATCTCACGCGGAGAAATATGATGCTGGAAATTCGCTGGAATTTTAATTCGCAAAAATTGAGCAAGAGTGAGTAAAATACTTTCATGCCCAAGAGACATCATATTCGTACATAGCTTGAGTAAAATGATTTATACCAATACATCAACGGAACAGAGATTATCTACATATCGAACTCATCGTCTGTTTTTCAGACTTGGGACCCTGAAGCAGCCTCACTTGCACAATTATGGGCTGATCAATGCACATTTGCGCATGACCTCATTCATCATACGGGTTCGTTGAAACGGATAATTTTTTTGATTGCCATGCAAAAAATAAAAATCTTTCGTTGATTATTTCCGAATCAGACGTGCAAGGAGGAAAGATTTACAATGGGCAAAACTTATACATGGCTGGCACTTCCTCCAGCTCATCGGTAGCAAGTTGGACAGCAGCTGTTGATGCGTGGTACGGCGAAGTCAAAGATTGGGATCCCGCCAAAATTAACCCTTACGTGTAAGAAATGGGTGGAACGAATTGATGTATTATGGTACAGCGTTTGAAATTCTAATCCACCGTTGATGTGTTTTGGATTTGAATAGATTCAGTTCTGCGACTGGACACTACACTCAAGTCGTCTGGGCCACAACGACTAAGGTCGGTTGCGGATACATCTCGTACTTGCCCCCAGGCGGAACTACCACCTACAAACAGCTCTACGTTTGCAACTACAGTCCTGGAGGAAATATTATTGGTCCTGGTTACAAAGTGTACACTCAAGGAGATCCCTGCACTTCTTGTCCCTCAGGAACTTCATGCGTGGATACGTCCTTGTGTGCATAATCGCCAGGCCCGTCGGTTCACTACAACAAGGAGTGTGAAATTGCACAGCACCCAAATGCATACATTTAGAATTGTGCGTATATTTGAGAAGAAGATATAAATAAAAAATAGGAAGTGTGGCAATCCTAACAAGATTTGTTTTTCTTTCGGGAAAGATGAAATTTCGCCGGTTTTCCCATCGAACGAGATCCTAAAAATAATGCCCCAGGGTTAATGTATTCCTCATTCATCTGTAAGAAATTTTTTAAACATAACAGTTGTTTCATAGTCGAGAAAGTCACAAAAGTCATTAGCCGGGACATATTTTTAAACTAGAATAATTTTGATGAGAAACATCTAGAACCCGAAAAAAGGACAATCTAAATTGAATTTATTTCAATTTTCCAACTGTGATGCATAACTTTTGCAAGTTTGAAGGAGCCTTTGTGGCTCAGGAGAAAATCTCCGAGTGCCAATAATATATTCAGCATTGAATGGAACGTGTGATTTCTGTGCTGAGTCGGTTTTTGCAACCAAACGGGATTTTCGCACATATTTTTCCTACTCGTGAAATTGCATGCTAACGCATTCTAGATATATTTGTTCACGTAGGGTGCAAATATAATACTAGCCAAAAACTTTTCGCCTGAAATTTCCACTTAAATATGGACTATTTTCGTATCGAGTGCAACGAATGCCGTCCATCACAGATCCGTATAAGACAAGAACTATCAACATTAAAACCTGAGATTTAAATTTTCTAAACGGATAAATTCATTGTCCTTGCTTCAACTATACTTATTTATAAAATCAGCATGACGTTTGAACGAGACTGATTTCTGTTGGGTATGAAAATGTCAACAAAAAGTTTCCAGGTCGCAAGTCCCCTTTGATACGAGGATCATAATAAGAAAAATCTTTAGAATGAAAATCAAAATCTCATCGTATAAGTATCTGGCAATCGATTATTGAATTTTCCTCAGGAATATTCTTCAACCCATCATCAAGAAAATATCAGACTAATTATGAAGCGGTATTTTAATTTGGCTTTCAGTTTCGAGCCAAATCAACGACAGACAATAATGTCGACTCAAGTGCAACAATTTTCGTCAACAAATAAGGTGCGTGACAGGAAAAAATAACAGTAAACCCCGATGGTTAAATATTTGAAGACGTGTAAGTACAGCATTTTATAATTCCACGTGCTTTTAATTACTGAAGTGCTAGTTTTTGAAATGAGCATCTCATTTGAAAGAGGATGACGAATTTGAGATAGAGGTGGAATTTAGCTGAACTTTAGCATTGTGTTCCATAAAACTAACAATGCCAAGAATTCGGTCAATCATTGACTTGACTTGTTCAATTATTATCAATCTCTCGACCAATATAATAGCCTAATTTTCCTGCAAAGTGTACTTTACATGCCTTAAATGAGAAATTTTTTTTCTGGACGAAGTAATGTACAGTATATTATATTCTCGTATTATAAAATCAAGGATATATATTTTAACCCCAGCGATTGCATTTTTCATGGTTTAAATGATTATTATTATTTATTAATTAAAATATGAACATTGCATTTTATTGAGGTTTTTAAAATTTGACGCGTGATCTCGTCAAGGAAGGGCATTTTCTTCCACAAAACCAATATTGTCAATATATCAGTGACTCAGCTTATTTCATTCTAATCAACCTTATGATCAATAAACAAATTTTTTTTTAAACTGAATATACTGTATTGCATAACAAGAACATGATTTTTGGAAATGTTTGGATCAGTAAGATAGAATATATCTGTTGAGGAACTAATAATCCCAACATAAAGAATTGAACCATAGCGCAGTGGAAGAAAAGGTGGGAAATAATAATGCAGGGCAATCAGCCAGTTTATGGCCAGGAATATGTAATTAAAGGGTTACCTTAATTACATATCCCTAGTTTTGTCTGGTTTAATCACAGTCCACAATAAATCACAATCAAACACAATACAAAAATAATGCATCACAATAAATGCAATAATGCATCACAATTCAATAAAGACAATAAATTTGTGCACACAAATTTAGGGTGCAATAATGTAATGCAAGAATTCAAGCAGAAGAATTGGGATTGGAATGTTTGAGGGAAGTTTACTGTAAGAGGTAATTTTAAGAACTGATTATTGGGAGCGGAAGAGTGCTGGGTTTTTATGCAATTTAGCACAATGCTTCAGTCAGCTGACCTGACAGAAGCATTGGACATTTTTTCTTGCCTGTATTTGGTGGAGAAATGGTAATCCAAGAAGTCCCACTTCCAGGAGTGGATGCACAAAGGGAAAACGGGACCAGAATTCAGGTCCTGGGACCTGACGTCCCTGGGCCGGAGTTCTGGTTCCCCAACAATATCGATGATGCGCATAGAAGATGAGTATTTTCGGGATCAGCGTCACAATCATTCCAATAATCTGCTCCTCGTTTAGTTTTATAAAATTTCGAAAATTCCTTGAAATTTTTTTTTTGACAACGAACAAAGGCGCGTTGGTCGTTCGAAATGAATTCTCCCCTCCTATATAACGTACGAAAGCAACAATTTCATCCACAGTGTCAGTGAAACACAGTTTTCAGGGATTTCAAGCGCACTCGAATTTGTTATTTTCTGGACGAAGAACATTTTCCAACGTGAAGAAAAGTAGAGCGATTTGGAAAACAAAATAAAATGCAAGGAAAAACTCGAGCCTTCAACTGCGTTTGTCTCTCGAATAATTTGGCGCACGCTTTTCGAAAAGAAAATTCAGTCTCGTCCTCAACGTCATTTTTGACTGAAAAACTTGAAATTTATTTCAAATAAACGAATTCAAAACGTGGATTGTTCTCTGTGTAAAAAGTGTGACACACGTTCTCGAAGACACGTGGCAGAGCCATGAAGATTTATCTTCAGATTCAAAGTGAGTATAAGTATCGATGATTGGCTTCGTGATCGTTCTGTTTATAATTAGCTCGATTGCCAATTAATTTGCAGACGAATCGAGGAAGATTTTTCTGGGAATTTTAGCAATTTTCCCGGCATTCGAAGCGCATGAGAAATATTCGGGTGGTTATGCAGTGGAATTCTCCACGTTTCCAAAAGCGTCCTTCGTCAATGATCCACCTGCTTTCGTATGGAATGACCTGGACTTGACCTTATCGCATCTTAGAATCGACGATCTGTGCCTTCGGTATGTAATATCTCCTATATGCAAGAAAATCAGGGTGGTTGAACCTTTTGAGCCGATTTTCTTTTTTCACACGGATGTTACGCGTGAAATCGAATTTTAGCAATGCTAAAATTCGAGCAAAGAAATTTTCTTTGCTTTTGATGTGATTCAATGTGTCTGGATAATAGGATATGATGGGGAAGCGAGGGGGTTAGATGTGGGAACATTCTTTGTACTTTGTGATAACGCTGCAAAGTGGAAAATAAAGTTTGTTCATCATCATCATTATCATCATCATAATCCACAAAAAGTTGTTTGCTTCTTCAAAGAATTTAAATTTGTTCTTCATCCTATTCTTCAAATGTTTTTTTTTTTTTGGTGGTAGGGGTTACGAGGGATTGAACACCCAGAGCGCTTACTGCTCTTACGATCCCAAGCACACAGCTTGCTTGTACAACAAGATCAACACAACGTCTTGTGGAACTGTTCATGCCCGGAAAGTCACCGACGCCGAAAAAACTGCAATTCTCGACACGCACAATGCAAAACGGCGGCGGGTGGCTCAAGGATTGGAGACCCTCGGAGCTGACGGCGGCCAACCGAAGGCGGCGAACATGAGAAAATTGGTTAGTCGAAATCTCGATCATGTTCAATACAAAAAAAAAGAAGCACAGATTTAAAACTCGATAATAATTTGATGCTCAAAAATTATTCTCAAATCGAGTAGCGCTGAACAGTAACGTTGAACCTCCATTTGTTCACGGACTCCATTATTAATGTTTGGATATTTAGAACATATTTTCGATAATTCAAGCAGCAATGATTCCCTTGCCAAATTAGACGCCGGCATATTCAGAACTTGGTTTCCATAACCAATAATCAGTGACGACTGTTATGCTAAACCCGATTTATCCCTCGCCTTTTGCTTCGTCATGTGAATATTCTTTCAATGAAAAATAAAATTGGCAAATTTTCTGCGAGGACTTCGAAGAACATTTGAAAGGAACAACTCATCCGTTCTCACCCCTCAACGTGGGAAATGTCAGCTGTAAAATTTACGAGTATAAGGAAAGCTGAACCATGAAGCAGTATTTAAACGCAGGATTTGCGTTTAGAATAAGAGGGGAATTTTCATGGAAGTAATACATACTAGCCGGATTCCATACAAGACAAATTTTCAGTGATTGATGAATAAACAGGAGGTTTTCTTTACAATGATGATGCAATATAAGTACTGTAATGTACAATGTGCGCATTGAATTTTAATCCTTTCTAAAAATTAGGAAATGGAAAGTCAATCGTAAAAAAGCATGAAATTTATGCCCTTCATCTCACATGAGAATAAATATGCTGGCAATTTGCTGCAAAAATTGACAAAAAGAGAGTGAAATATGTGTGCCCAAGACATAATAATACTCTTTGTTGGGCAAACACGCCGCGTACTTTAAATATATTGTATTTACTTTAGTACCACGTGCCCTCAAGTAAGGCGAGCACAGGGGTTTTTCAGTTGGAAATTTTGCTAAAATCTTATCTCCAAGTAAGACACACACCCCTATTTTTAGTGGATCTGAAACCACAAAATTAAAAAAATTGACTTTACACATGAATTGAACAAAATTCTGATCAATTTTCCACTGCTGTTTCAGTACAAAAAAGTTTGTTGTTACATTTGCTCCAAATTTCTCTATTATAATTAAGTATAGTGCACACAACTTCCTAAAACTTCTTGAAAATTTGTACCCCCTTATGATGGGCACCCCTTTTTTTCTTCTGAAATTCAAGAAAAAAGGTGCGCAATATGGTACTTAAGTAAATACAGTACTAAATAATCAATTCCTAGAAGTAAGAATTAATCCCCCCTCCTCAAAATTGCAGTGCCAGGCACATCCTGGCACCATAGGGTCCTGGAGGACATCTTTCCTACTCTGATTTATGAAGTAAAACCTATTGAAGGTTAAATATAATTGGCAGTACAGTATATAAGCAGCTCCTCTTCACATTATATTAGTTCATCAGTCATCAGTTCAGTTTTGTTATTCAGTTATTCAGTTATTCCTGCAAGTTGAGTTCCTTGAGTTGTTCATTCAGTCACTCCGTGAAATACACTTATCCCTTTAAACTAGGCAATTCATACAAGGAATATCTGGTCCTGTCCTAGACTGATTGACTCAACATCAAATTATATTGAGGTGACTTTGTCCCCAATACTCTTACAGATAGTTTTGAGTTTAATGATGACTTACATACCAATTCTGATTAAACAGAGATTCTCTAAATGTATTGTCTTCATTGTCTATTTTTAGACTTGGGACATTGAAGCAGCCTCACTTGCACAATTATGGGCTGATCAATGCACATTTGAGCATGACTCCGTCCATCACACAGGTTGGTTGAAACGCCCATTTATTTATTAATTATGTTTTGAATGCCGAAACAAATTTTCGTTGATTCATTCCAATTCAGACGTGCAAGGACAAGATGTTTGCAACGGACAAAACATATACCTGGGTAGTACATTCTCCAACTCATCGGCCGCAAATTGGACAGCAGCTATTGAGGCGTGGTACGGCGAAGTCAAAGATTATGATCCCATCTATATGGACGCTTATGAGTGAGAAATGCGTGGAACGAATGGATATAATGGTAGCGAGTTAGAAATTCTAAGGCACCGTTGATGTTTTTTGGATTTGAACAGATTCAGTCCTGCGACTGGACACTACACTCAAGTCGTCTGGGGCACAACAACTAAGATCGGTTGCGGATACATTTTGTACTTGCCCCCAGGCGAAACCACCATCTACAAACAGTTCTACGTTTGCAACTATAGTCCCGGAGGAAATCTTCTTGATAATCGAGTGTACCTTCGAGGAGATGCATGTAGTGAATGTCCCACAGGAACTAACTGTGTGGATTTCTTGTGTGCATAATCGCCACAAGAAAGAGAGAAGGAGTGTGAAATTTCATGAATCATTGAACGCATGTAAGATCGGCATTGTGAGTATATTCTGCTCGAGAAGCAGATGCATTCATAAATGAAAAATATTGCAATCCTAACCAGATTTGTTTCATTCTGGGTGGAGGAATTTCGGGGAACACGAAATTTTGACTGATTCCCATTGGACAAGATTTTAAAAATTCCATCGTCGGTTTCTCATTCAATTTCATTGAAATGCTTTTGTTTATAATAGTTGCGTGAACTAGTCAAGAAAATAACATCCATCGTCGCCTCACTGAGAAGGATCGTCGGTTATTGTAGATTAAAAATTAAAATGTATTTCTTTCGAATTATGCGCAATTATTCTGCAGAAAATATAAATAAGAATGATTGAAGTGTGAATATATTTCAGCATGGATTTATTTTATTTGGTGGAATTCATTTGGACAGAGATGTTTTATCTCCACGAATGAGTCCTCAAACCCATCGGCCTTCGTTTAGGGCGGTTTAGGCCTTTTTCCCCAATGAAAATCGTTTCGAAAGTTTTGGTTGAGGGTCATTCCAGAAAATCATGTATTCTGTGTATCTTTCGGGACCAGCAAATTTGGTAAATTTCATTCAAGGTTTTTGGAAATAACGTATATGCCATCATCCTCGAAACTACCTTTCTGACTAACTCAACCGTCTCTATAAAATGAAATTTCAGGAATTTATTGCGTTTAAATGATGCATTATCGCGTATTTGCTGATGATGCCACGATGATAACGAATTTATAAATTAAGAAAGCACCTTCTCTACATTATTTCCTTCCTTCGGAAAAAGCCTAAAAAATTTTCTCTACTGCTGTTAATTTTTAATTGAGAAAAACGCAGTTTTAAGAGTTTCCTTGAGATTTCTGGAATGAATATTGTAATTGTTATTGTTCTGGAAAGATTAAAGTTCAAAACATTCATTTCCGTAGAGCGCAGATTGAGGTGGAATGGAGCGTCACCTACAATTCCATGCAAGAACTTTCGCTGAGAAAATTCGTTCGAGTCTGGTTATCGCAAAGCATTCGTGCGAATATTTAATTTTTACGCAATAGTGGCAATTTGCTTTTAAGTAGAATACGAAAAATAAATTCAATTCTTTATGTTGGGTCGATTAATTCCTCAACAGGGGCTCTGCAGAAATTCTGCATAACCCTTCTTCTTATACCTGCATGTTTGTCAAATATCCAAGCTGAGAAAGTTTCGCAGGCGTTGTCCGACCCCTGCTCGTCCTCTTCCTCGTCGATTCGGTGACACGTGGGTGCTGGGCCAGGGTCTCGAACCACGAGTTGCAGCACTTTGGGTTTCAGAACCCGCGAAGGTTCTCTGCGCAAAGATGAGTGACCCCTTCTGCGATCCGCCGTTTCCGGTTCCACTCCGGTGTTGGGTTGCGCCACTGATGGCAAATCAATAAAATATACCACGTTTAAATGTATAATCAATGCTTGAACAAATTTATTTATTTTGTAATATATTCTTACGCAATAATAAGGCGTCATATTCAAAGTAGTACATTTGTCAGTTGAAAATTTTATTTCCGGATACTAAAAATTTACAGTCGACTTTCAGGGGACGGACGAAAAAAAAATTCGACTTTCGGGGTTTTTGACTTAGGGAGGTTTCAATTTATAGAGGGTTGAGTTATGGAACCAAACGTTTTTGTTTTTGTGGGAAATGTGAAAGAATTACAAAAAATCATAAATCATGATATTCTGTGCATTAAATTGGTTCTTACATGAGTTATTGACAGAATGCCGAACTTGGATTGAGACAGTGGTTAATTTTCCCAATTTAGTCCTTCACTTCCTTTAAAAACATAAAAAGTCCATATTTTTTATTGCTTTTCTCTTTCATACGTCAAGAAAATAATAGTCAGAAGACCTCAGGAAATTTGACTTGAGGAGGCTTGAGAAGAAAAGCCTTTGATTTAAGGAGGTTTTCAATGCATTGTTCTGAAGGGAATTCATATGGGGATTCAAGAAAAAAATATATATTCAGGGAGGTTTGATTAATAAGGGTTCAACTGTACATATTTCAAAAGCGTAAAAAGGCGTTCAACAGCAGAAAATTAAACTTTCCCAGCCATGATCGTCATCGAGGCAAGGTTTCAGATATGATTTCGCTCGAGGAGATTTAATTATTCATTTACCCATTTGTTCAACACGAAGCTTCCCGCGAGAATAACGCACACAGCCGGCCTTTCGTTCGTTTTGTAAAGCTGCGCTACGAACCGCTTTGTAAGGGGGCTCCCGCATTAATGGGCTAGCTGAGAGCTCTATTTTTGTCGACTAGATTACTCTATTAATGCCGGCCCGGAGGGTGCGAGCGACGATCCATGTTTGGGACCGAGCGCAACCCGTTCTAAAAAGGAGAGTGGCAGCAAAAATCAAAACAATAAGAGAGAGTGAGACCTTTTATAGTTTTATTTAATGCGGATTAAGATTCTTTTTTCACAAAAGAAGATGTAAAATAGGATATTGCCTTCAAAGAAGGGGAATGTGCTTCACGATTCTTTCATGCAAATATACAAACAACTTTTGTCTTATTTAAGACCAGATAAATGGTGAACATTGTTTGAAGGAGAGTTCCACATCCACATCATAACATTTTTCAACTAATGAGCGTGCAAATTATTCAACAGCTGTCCCGGGTCGAACAGATGTCGCCCGCGGACTTCGAACTTTTCTCGGGACGACTAGATGTCGCCCCGAGCAACCCAGGTACAGCAAGGTACGACAGACGACGTGGCGTATGAAACGCCCCGTCGTCCATCGTATTCAGGAAGATTCTGGCGAATTCTGGACCTGAAAGAAAAAGGAATTTTCGAACAGAAATGTCTGTAAG